GGAGGGGGAGGGTCGGGTAACTAGGTCAGGGTAGAGCTAGGCTGGAGGGGGAGGGTCGGGTAACTAGGTCAGGGTAGAGCTAGGCTGGAGGGGGAGGGTCGGGTTACTTGGACAGGGTAGAGCTAGGCTGGAGGGGTGTAGCTACTATGTCAGGGTAGAGCTAGACTGGAGGGGTAGGGTTACTTGGTCGGGGTAGAGCTAGGCTGGAGGAGTGGGTATAGTAGGACTGAGTCTGTCTTAGTAAGAATAAATATTATTACAATTTACAAGAAACATGGGATAGATGTTAGACACAATGATGTTGTCTCTATTATATCTTTAGACTCTTTTCAACCTTAAAAGCATACCTAAATCAATATGGTTTCTTACCCATGGTTTCTTTTTTTGTAAATGTTTTGTCAAAATGATGGCACCATAACATCCAACCACCCACCAATAAAATATTTATAAAAATAAGATGCGATGTGTTTATTATTGAAATTGAAAGTTCTGTTAAATTAATTTCCAGTGATGAGATGTGAATCAAGGTAATATAAATATAAAATAATGTGATTTATTCAACTAGTTGTTCTGTTTTACATATCATCTACATATTGACATAACATCAATATAAACAACATAATATAACTGTTATAGTGCACATAGTATAGTTAATGTATTACAATGTACTGAGTGAAAGTTCCACATTCTCACATGTCTCTTTAATATTAATACAGTGCACATAGGTATGTTTAACAGGTGGTCTAGCTGCTATGCACCATATGACAGTGTCTGATGGTAGACATTGTCAGCGAGAACTAGTCTAGAACATCAAGTCATCAACAAGACATTGACATAACATTATATATCGAAGATAATGATAGCATCAATTAGCTCCATTCCAATTTTCAATCAGACATCTGTGGTTCCTGCAATTCCACTAAAACTATGATGTTTGGTGTTTGACCAAGGCCTTAAGTGACACAAGCATATTTTGCAATTAGTGACATCATCAAATACTTATTTTATGTGAAATAACAAGAACCGCAGATTTCTATCTGAGAATTGGAATGGTGTAAGTTGATGCTATCAGTGTCCCTGATATACATGAAAAATTCAGAAAACCTCTTTATATACTCTGTTTAACAAATCACATATCAACATAGTATAAATCTAAAATAATGGATGTTAAATCCACCTGTCCCTTTATCAAGTTATCAAATGTTTTTTTAGTTTTGGATTTAATTTATGAACATATGGTTGTAATTTATGCTATTGATCAACCTGTTTTCACATCTGCTAGACA